CAGGAGCCAGGTGCTTCTCCTGGTCTCCCATGGGGTGCAGGCCCCAAGTACTTGGGCCATCCTCCACTGTACTCCCGGGCCACAGCAGAGAGCTGGCCTGGAAGAGGGGCAACCGGGACAGAATCCGGTGCCCCAACCAGGACTAGAACCTGGTGTGCCGGTGCCGCAAGGTGGAGGATTAGCCTAGTGAGCCGCGGCGCCGGCCTCTTCTCTAATTTTAATTATTTCTCTTCTCCTACTAGATTTGGGTCTGGTTTGCTGCAGATTTTCTAGATCCTTGAGATGCATTGAAAGCTCATCTATTTGGTGCCTGTCCAATTTCTTGATGTACGCACCTATTGCTATAAACTTTCCTCTTAACACTGTTTTTGCTGTATCCCATAAATTTCGATATGTTGTGCTGTTGTCCTCATTTACTTCCAGAAAGTTTTTGATTTCTCTTTTGATTTCTTCTATGACCCATTGTTCATTCAGGAGCATGTTGTTCAGTCTCCATGTGTTTGCATATTCTCTAGGGATTTCTGAGTTGCTAATTTCCAACTTCATTCCACTATGGTCTGAGAAGCTGCATCGTATGATTCTAATTCTTTTGAATTTGCTGAGACTTGCTTTATGGCCTAGTATGTGGTCAATCCTAGAGTAGGTTCCATGTACTGCTGAGAATGTAAATTTTTTTGTGTAGGATGAAAAGTTCTGTAGATATCTGTTAGAAGAGTTGTTGTTTGATTTTTAAAAATTATTTTTTCCCTGTCATAGCTCTATGTTAGTTCTTTGAGTAATTTCTCTGTGTCTCTTGAAGTTTATTGAATTTTGTTAAAAGGGATATTTTAGAATCTCTTTCAAAATATTTGTAATATCAGTTCCTATCTGACTGATTTTTGATACCTTGATGCTTACTGGCATATGGCATTATCTGTGCATTGAAGGATTTGTTATTTAGTCTTCATGACATGCCTTCATTTGTTTCTGTACTTCCAGAAATTCTAAGCAGCTGGCTTAATTTCTGTGATTCTGTAAACACTTCTGGTATTTTTTTTAACTTTTATTTAATGAATATAAATTTCCAAAGTACGACTTATGGATTACAATGGCTTCCCCCCCAAACCGTCCCTCCCACCCACAACCCTCCCCTTTCCCACTCCCTCTCCCCTTCCATTCACATCAAGATTCATTTTCGATTATCTTAATATACAGAAGATCAGCTTAGTATACATTAACACTTCTGGTATTTTAACACTAGATGGTGCCATGAGTTGTGGTTTACTATGATTCTAGTTGACCCAACTACTAGAGCCATCATCTGCTGCCCCTAAGGTGCAGATTAGCAGGAAGCTGAAATACAGAGCAGAGCTGTGACTTGAACCTATGTACTGCGAAGTGGTATATGAGTGTCCCAAGCCGTGTCTTTATCACTCTACCAAATGCCTGCCTACAATTGGATGATTATTATTATTGCTGTTCAGTTCCTCTTATATTTTGGATATTAATCCTTTGTCAAAGGTATGGTTTTAAAATGTATTCTACTGTTTGATATATCTTTGTTTTGTCTCTTTACTTGTCAATTGTTTCCTTTGCTGTATAAAAGCTTTTAGCTTGATATAATCCCATTTGTCTATTTTTACTTTTGATTCCTGTGCTTTTGGGATCCTATACAGAAATTCTTTATCCATTCCAGTGTCCTAAAGTATTTTCTTTTATAATTTCATAGATTCAGATTTTGTATGTAGGTCTTTAATCAATTTTGAGTTGAGTTTTGTTTATAATGAGAGGGGTCTAAGTTTTGTTCTTCTGCATGTGGATATCTAATTTTCCCAGCGTCACTTATTGAAGAAACTGAACTTTCTCTAATGTGTATTATTAACCTCTTTGTTATTGATTATTAGTGTTTTCTTGATTATAATCTTGTTCAAATCACTTAATCTAAATGTAATATATAAATAATTACTCTACATAATAAATATGAACTATCTTGTGTGCTTCATAGGAATTTTTTGAGAGCAAATTAAGTTATTTCCATAGAAATGCATCATAGGCTATAAAGGACCAGTCAAACATAAAGTATATCATTCCAGAGGATTAATAAAAATAAAAAAATAGAGATTATATGATGAAATAAGGGCAAAAACAGACCACCCATATGAGAGGATCAACAGTAATGGAATGAGAGAAATAGAATAGTAGATATACTTGACCCTAGGATAGAAGAATGGAAACTATGAGGATGTGTAGAAAAAAATACTGAATATCAATAATGAAATAACAGACATTTTCTTCATACATTTGGTATGCACAGTTAAGATTGAGTAAGTATTATAATATACAATAAGGTTTTTGTTTTTTAGGTGCCTAAAGTGAGATTGAAAAAAAAATTTAAAACAGTGCACTAGGGCATGTTAAGCTGCTGCCTGAAACACTGGTATCCCAAATAGACACTGATTTGAGTTCTGGCTACTCTATTTCTGATCCAGCTCCCTGCTTATGCACCTGGAAAAACAGCAGAAGATGGTATTAGTGCTTGGGCCCCTGTACCAAGTTGGGAGACCTGAAAGAAGCTCTTTGCTCTGGGCTTCAGCCTGGCCCAGTCATGGCTGTTGTTGCCATTTAGGGAGTAAATCAGTAGATGAAAGATCTCTCTCTCTCTCTCTCTTTCTTTCTCTCATTGTAACTCTGCCTTTTAAGTAAATAAATAAATCTTAAAAAAAGAAATAGTACACTGTTTCATATGGCATTAGCTATAAGAGCAACAGGTAGATAAAAGGTATAAGAATGAACAATGATAATATGGGAAAGATTGAAGGAGCAAATGGACATTTGGTTGTTGAATTAAGAATAAGAATTCAATTGGGCATTCTTGATGGTCAAAGGACCTATTAGATAGGAATGATCTGATGTCTATGGAGAGTACTAAGGAATGTACATTGCAAAGTACAGGATGCCTGAGTTGAAGTTTCTCCCAAATTTATAATAAAATTTTAAAGTATACTACAGCTATCATATTGCTAGGTGTTTTTTTCTAGTTAGAAAAATTTTGCCTGCACACAAAAGCAGTGTCAGCAAACTTATACCTAGGAAATCCAATCATCACAGTTAGAGGTTATAATTCCAGATCTCAACATACAAGATTTAGATTGACCATTCTGTTTTTTTGATAAATATGGATTTTTCCTAAATAGAATAGGTAAGTTCTGTGAAGTGATGAGTAGGATATTTACTTTCAGTAACAAAAAAATTTCTACAAAATCTTTCAGAACGTCAGGAATTTCTACCATGATGAAATTCTTTTGAACCAAAGTATTTTATGTGTATTAGGCTATCAAACTGTTTACTAGAAGGGAGATAGGCATGTGGGAATAAATCTCCCCCTGATATATATTTTTTAAAGATTGGTTTATTTGAGATGCAGAGTTATAGACAGAGGGGTTTTCCATCTGCTGATTCACTCCCCAAATGGCTGCAATGGCTAGAGCTTGGCTGATCTAAGGCCAGGAGCCAGGAACTTCCTCCTAGTCTCACATGTGGATGCAGGGGTCCAAGCACTTGGGCCATCTTCCACTGTTTTCCCAGGACATTAGCAGAGAGCTGGATCAGAAAAGGAGCAACTGGACACAGTCCAGCGCCTATATGTGGTTCCGCGGCTGCAGGCAGAAGCTTAACCTATTACACCACAGCACTGGCCCTCCCCCTAACATTAACATTAGTTTTCAATTATTAAAAAAAATGATTCTCAGTCCCATCAAGGTGGCATGTACGTGTACATCTCATTAGTTAAAGTGATCAATTTCAGGTCACAATAGATCATAATGATAGGTCTAAGAGTCAAAGGGATCACATAAACAAGACTAGTGTCCTCTAATACTAACTGATAGAATAAAAAAGGGAGAGAACAATCCAACATGGGAAGCAGGATATACAGCAGACTCACAGAAATGCAGATGTCCTAAACAGCACTCTGGCCTCAGAATCAGCCCTGAAGGCATTTGGATCTGGCTGAAGAGCCCATGAGAGTATTTTAGGCATGGAAAGCCAAGACACTCTGGCAAAAAAAAAAAAAAAAAAAAAAAAAAAAAAACCAAACCAAACCTAAATGAAAGATCTCTGCAAGTGAGATCCCAGTGGAAAGAAATGGCCATCAAAAAAAGGAGGTACCTTTCTTTGAAGGGAGGAGTGAACTTCCACTTTGACTATGACCTTATCGAAATAAGATCGAAGTTGGTGAACTCAAAAGGCTTCCATAGCCTTGGCAACTCATGACTAGAGCCTGGGGAGATTGCTGATGCCTTAAAAAAGAGTGTCAATTTGTTAAGTCAACAACAGGAGTCACTGTGCACTTACTCCTCATGTAGGATCTCTGTCCTTAATGTGTAGTTCAATGTGAATTAATGCTATAACTAGTACTCAAACAGTATTTTACACTTTATGTTTCTGTGTGGGTGCAAACTGTTGAAATCTTAATATATACTAAATTGATCTTCTGTATATAAAGAGAATTGAAAATGAATCTTGATGTGAATGGAATGGGAGAGGGAGCGGGAGTTGGGAGGGTTGCAGGTGGGAGGGAAGTTATGGGGGGGGAAAGCCATTGTAATACATAAGCTGTACTTTGGAAATTTATATTTACTAAATAAAAATAAAAAAATTCTCTTAGTAGAAGAATTGTCAGGATAATACAAGTTAAATTTTGATGAAGAAATGAGAAAGAGGAAAATTGATATGGAATAACTGGACATATCAGGAAAGTATGTGGGAAGCACAGATAGAGGGGACAAATACCAAAGTTCAATTCCTTGTGTGAGTTTGCCTTATATTTGATCTTTACATACTTGACATGAGAGTTAAATACATATGTATATATCAAGAGAGAGTTTAAAGCAAATTATACTGTGCTTTGTATAATATTAAAATAAAAATGCCAGGTATGTATACTAAATTTTTTATTTATACTCTAAGTATATTCTCTAGAATTTCACTATATATAAATTGAAAATATTTTCTTTTTTTAGAGGTTAATGAACTTGCAAAGGCTTTAGACAAGGTCAACAGTGAAAAAATTGATTTTGATGAAGTAAAATCTACACTGAAAGGCCTAGGGATTTGTTTTCCAGAGGAAGAATTACAGGTGGTGCTCTCCTCCATTTCTGTTGATAGTAAGTATTTCTTTCCTTTTTCAAGTCATTTGTTACACGTAAAGGTAGTGTATACTTTCAGTCATAAAGCGTGGTTGTGCTTAAGATGCTTAGGGTGACTGGAGAAATAGATCATTGTAGGTAGAGTGATTAGGAATCAAATGTGGTGGGTTCAACAAGAGTAGCGTTTTACTTTTAGGGTTGAGTGAGTATTTATTCTAAATTACCCTCATACTGATTTCATTAGGGAATTATAATCCCCTCATACTGATTTTATTAGGGAATTATAATCTTCCCCTCTCTTTCTAATTTCTTTACTTTCTGAGATTTGAATCACAGATTCATATTGGTCAGAAACTGTAACATTGTCTTAAGCCCATGAAGCAGAGGCCCAATCTTTAGTGTGGTAAGGCCATTAACCAATTTTGTTTTCCCAGAATCCTCAGAGGATTATACTGGTGCTTTTGGAATCCTGCCAGTGGAATATTTAGTTTACCTATAGAGCCTATGGTGTTGTTTTTCTTCATAAGTCCCAAGTATATGTGTGATAGAAGGAAAAAATATTGTAAACTTCCTTTATTAATATATATTTACTCAGAAGTATAGTCTTCTTAGATATGGTTAAGTTTGATTTATGATATTTATCTTCTGGTGGATAAATTGTCTTCCATGAAAATATCAGCAGTATTAGTAGGACTTGTAATGCTGAAAAATTAGGAGAACATAATATCAGAGAGGAAACATACTAAAAACAATGGTCCTAATTGGCTGAGATATGCTTGAAATCTATAAAATTTGGGAGAAAAAAATGGCAGATTAGGGGGCAGCGTGTTTTGCAGGGCTATGGATAAACAGTGAGGAGAAAAGTGTAGGAGGTATACTCTTGGTGGAGAACTGGAGAGAAAACCACCTGGGAAGCCCCACGGGAGGAGGTGAAACAGTGTGAACCTATGTGATGGGTGCCGACATGCAGCCTATGCAGCTGCAATGGTGGAGAGCTGGAATTGGAGGCAATTTAGAGATGGAGGGGAGGTCGGATTGTGCCAATCCATGGTGATAGAGCCAGAAAGAGAGTGTGGCATGAGTCTAGACTGGAGCCCCGAGGGCTGGTGGTTGCTGGAGTCTCCTGTGGTCCTAGTGGAAGTGGAGGAGGCATTTGAGTCAAACCAGTCTCTCCAAAACAGAACCCATGATCTGGCTTAGAGAGGGTAGGCGCCATTTTGCAATAGGGCAACAACTACAGAAGCCTGAAGGTGTGCACATAACAGTTCACTGAGATGGGGCATCTGAACACAGTGCTGGCAGCAGCAGAAGGCAGGCACTTGGCCAGTGGCTCTGATGTGCATGTGTGATCCAGGGCTTCAAGTGCAGCCCCTACTGACTCAGAGCTTGGCTGAGAGGTGGCTGGGCATCTAAGAGGACAGAGGGGTGCCTGCTCCAGCAGCACCTTCTGGACTTGTTGACTGTGGGAACCTTGAATGCTGAGACCTTGGCTGTGGCTACATGAGAAGGTGTAGGATGTAGCTGGGTATTGAGTACTATCATGCCCAATTTGGGTGTTACCCTGGAAACTCTCCCCACCCTAGAGCATTAATCAGAGCCCCCTGGCCATACCCATCACACACCTCCTGATATTCACTGAAAGTACAGACATTCTGCTGAACCATGGAAGCATTGCCCCAAAGATAAAAGCCACCAGAAGAAAAAATTAAAAATCAACTCTACAAAGGCTGAAAAATAAGAGCTGAAATTCAACGAATAGGAATAAGGAAGTCACCATGACCTCCTCCCCCAGAGAAACACAACAATATTTCAGTATTAGAATGTGAAGATGAAGAGATTGAGGAAATGCCAGAAATGGAATTTAGAAAACTAATCACAGGATTACTAAAAAAAATCAGAAGCAAATCCATGAACTAAAGAAAACCATATATGAGATTAATGAAAATTTTTCACAGGAAATTGAGAATTTAAAGAGACATTAAAATGAAATATTAGAAATTAAAAAATCAATTAATCAAATAAAATATGCAGTGGAAAGCCTTAACAGCAGACTTGGTGAGGCAAAAGCAAGAATATCCAAACTAGAAGACAAATCTTTGGAAGTCTTACAGTCAGAAAAAAAAAAAAAAACCAAGAAGAAAATAGAAAACTTAAAAACAGTGTTGGAGGTCTATGGTATTCTATCAAACGACCAACATTTGGGTCTTAGATGTTCCTGAAGAAGTGGAAAGAGAGAAGGGAATAGAAAGCCTATTTAGTGAAACAGTTACAGAAAATTTCCCCAATTTGAAGAAAGAAAGGGATGTTCAAGTAGAGGAAGTACATAGAACTCCTAACAGACATGACCAAAAAAGATCTTCACTATGCACATTGTAGTCAAACTTTCCCTAGTAAAACATAGAAAAAACTCTAAAATGTGCACAAGAGAAATATCAGATTACTTTCAGAGGATTGCCAATTAGACTCACAGCTCACTTCTCCTTAGAAACCCTACCAAATCTTAAAGAGAAAAAAACTGTCAACCCAGAATATTGTACCCTACAAAGCTCTCATTAATGAATGAAGGTAAAATAAAGACCTTCTATAACAAACAGAAATTGAAAGAATTTGTCACCACTCCTTCAGCCTTACAAGAGATGCTTAAGGATGTGCTACACACAAACACAGAAAGATAGCCATCATTATGAAAGAATGTGAAGGCAGAAAACCCCCCAGTGGAAGTACAAAAGAAATCCAAAGTAAACAATAGGAATATTTATGGAAAAAAATGATAGGGCCAACTAGTTACTTATCCATAGTCACCTTGAATGTAAATGGCTGCAACTCTTCAGTTAAAAGATACAGACTGGCTGAATGGATTGAAAAATAAGACCCATCTATTTGCTGCTTACTAGAAACACATCTTACAAACAAAAATACAAGCAGACTGAAAGTGAAATGATGGAAAAAAATAGTCCATGCCAACAGAAACCAAAAAAGAGCTGGTGTTGCCATTCTAATATCAGACAAAATAGACTTTAACATAAAAACTGTTAAAAGAGACAAAGAAGGGTACTATGTAATGATTAAGGATTCAATTCAACAGAAAGATGTGACTACAATAAATGTATATGCACCGAGTTACAGGGTGCCTGCCTATTTAAAAGAAATGTTAATAGACCTAAAAGGCGACATAGATTTCAATACAATAGTTTTGGGAGACTTCAATACCCCACTTTCATCAATGGACAATCAAAGGACCTAAATATATGACCTGATACCATCAAATTATTAAAGATCATGGGGGAAATTCTACAGAACATTGGCATAGGCAAAGACTTCTTGGAAAAGACCCCAGAAGCATAGGCAATCAAAGCCAAAATTGACAGATGGGATTGCATCAATCTGAGAAGGTTCTGTACTGCAAAAGAAACACTCAGCAAAATGAGGAGGCAACCAATGGAATGTGAAAAAAATATTTGCAAACTGCGCAACTGATAGAGGGCTAGCATCCAGAATACATAAAGAGCTCAGGAAATTTAGCAACAACAAAACAAAAAAATCCAGTGAAGAAATGGGCAAAGGACTTAAACAAGCATTTTCTAGAGATGAAACTCAAAAGGCCTACAGATACTTGAGAAGATGCTCAGGATCACTGGCCATCAGGGAATTACAAATCAAAACCACAACGAGATTTCACCTCACTCCAGTTAAAATGGCTCACATACAGAAATCAACAAGTGACAAGTGCTGGTGAGAATGTGGGGAAAAAGGTACCCTGATCCACTACTGGTAGGAATCTAAACTGGTGCCACCACTGTGGAAGTATAGAGATATCTCAAATATCTGAATATAGACCTACCATATGATCCAGCCATTGCACTCCTGGGAATTTACCCAAACCAAAAGAAATCAGTATTTGAAAGAGTTATCTGTACCCTGTGTTCATTGAAGCACAATTCACAACAGTTAAGATATTGAATCAACCCAGATGTCCATCAACTATTGACTGGATAAAGAAATTATGGTATACATACACTGTAAAGAAAAACAAAATCCTGTCTTTTGCAACAAGATGGAAACCATTATACTTATGATATAAGCCAAGGAATCTGATCAGGGAATATCGTATGTTTTCCCTGATCGAGGCAACTAATAGAATATCTGAAATGTAATGTATTAGAGTAAAATAGACATTTTGAGAATGGATGATTGTTTATAGCCCTTGTCTCTTCCATTAAGGAACAATATTTTGTTTTATTTTATTTTGTTTTCTTTCTCTTCATACTATTTGCTGAATTCCTTTACTTAAAGTGGGGTTAAGTATATGATCACTAAGTATACTGATAATAGACCACTGTAAAAATTAAGAATAGGAATCTGAGAGGGAGAAGGGGGAAAGATTGGAATGTGGGTGAGAGGGAGGGGAAGTCCCACTATGTTCCTAAATTTGCATATATGAAATATATGAAACATTTAAAACATAAATAAATTTTTTAAAATAAAATTTATAAAATCTTCATTGCTTCTAACCAAAAGACCACGAGAGTCATCATAATTATTTCTTTTTAGAGTTATTCTGAGGTATGCATAGAAGAATCAGAGTTAGAAAAACATAAGGCTTTAGTTTTGAAAGTTAAGCAGGTATGCATATCTACTAACCCAGTATCTTTTACCAAAGGCCATTCATTCATTGTTTTATGTTTCATTTTCAGAAGAAGGGAAAGTGGACTTAAAAGATTGCCTAAGTAGGTTGGTGCAAGCGCCATATTTTACCAAAGATTCAAGTGAGTGATAATTTTTAACATAAAAATATTGATTAGAAATGTTTATTATATGTATTAATGCATTTTTTTTCTAATGCTATAAAGCAAGCTATATGTGCAGCAGATATACTCTGGGTGAAGAATCAATATGGGATCTTAGTCTTGATTTTTTCTTGTTTTTTATTTCTATTATTTATTTATAAGGTAGAGTTACAGAAAGAGAGAGGGAGAGATGCACAGAGAGAAGGAGAGACAGAAAGAGAGACATTGATTTTCCATCAATTCATTCACTCTCCAAGTGGCCACCACATGGCCAAACTGAAGCCATGAGCCAGGAGCTTCTTCCAAGTCTCCCTCATGGGTTCAGGGGCCCAAGCACTTGAGTAATAGTCTGCTGTTTTCCCAGGTGCATTAGCAAGGAGCTGGATCAGAAGTGGAGCAGCCAGTACTCGAACTGGTTCCCTGTTGGGATGCCAGCACTGTAGGCGGTGGCTGGATTATTCCCCAAATGGCAGTAATGTCCTGGGGCTTGGGGAGTCCAAGGCCAGGAGCCTGAAGTACATCGGGGTCTCCCACAAGGGTGTCAGGGCCCAAGCACCATATTCTTCTGCTTTTCCAGTGCATTAGCAGGGAGCTTGATTGGAAGAGGAACTGCCAGGACTCAAAAAACTGTAGTCCAGTATTAGATGTCAGTATAGCAGAAGGTAGCTTAACCCACAGTACCACCATGCAGGCCCCAGAAAGCCCATGTTCTTGAGAAAAGCTGAAATAGCTTAATTTTCTATTTATTTTTGCATAATTGAAAATAAACTAAATTCAAAAGGCTTAATTTAGTTAGCCACAAAGTTAAATTGTTCTTCAGAGCCTAGGTATTTAGGATGTGGTAGTATGGTTTTTCTATAGACAACATATTTTGTCCTTAATTTTTTATTTCCTAAACCAGGTCTATAAGACTGTTCTAGGTTTGTGATTTATAAACTTGATCTCTTACAATGTTAATGCTTATGATATGCTGATATTTATCCTAACACATTCTTAATTTTTTTCTTGAAAGAATGTTTTATACATGGTGCTTTCAAATTGTTGTTGTTTTTTAGTATTCTGTAGATTCCCAACAGTGTTTTTTAGATTTCTAATTTCCTCTTCTCATCTTTGGTTTGACTATATAATTTCCTGTGCTCTGCCTTCTAAGTCTGATATTCTTTCTTCTGTTTCACTGATTCTGTTGTTAAGGTTCTCCATTGCATTTTTTATTTGTTCTATGGAATTCTTCATTTCCTTTTGATTTCTCTTTAAAATCTCAATTTCATGGGAGAAACTTCCTTTCACGTCCTGCACATATTTCAGTAGTTCATGCATTTGCTTCTGATTACTTCTATGTCATCTTATGATCGATTCTTTGAATTCCATTACTTGCATTTTCTTTATCTCATCATCTTCACAATCTAGTACTGAAATGTTGAGGCCAGCACTATAGCGTAGCAGGTAAAGCCGCCACCTGCAGTGCTGGCATCCCATGTGGGCGCTGGTTGCATACCCAGCTGCTCCTCTTCTGATCCAGCTCTCTGCTATGGCCTGGGAAAGCATAAGATGGTCCAAGTCCTTAGACCCCTGCACATGCATGGCAGACCTATAAGAAGTTCCTGGCTCCTGGTTTCAGATCAGCGCAGCTCCAGCCATTGCGGCCAACTGGAGAGTGAACCAGCAGATGGAAGACCTCTCTCTGTGTCTCTACCTCCCTCTCTCTCTCTCTTTCTCTCTCTGCCTCTCCTTCTCTCTGTGTGTAACTCTGACTTTCAAGTAAAATAAATAAGTCTTTAAAAAATGGTGTGTTCTTTTGGCTACATCATGTTGTCTTCCTTATTCTTGTTTGTTGAATTGAGGCATTTGTTGTTTGGCATTTGTGAGATATTCTTTGATTTCTTCTTCTTCTTCGTTGTCGTCGTCATCTTCTTCTTCGTCTTCGTCGTTGTCTTTGTCGTCATCTACATCATTGTCTCCTTCGTCTCCTTCATTTCCTTCTCCTTCGTCTCCTTCTCCTCCTCCTCCTCCCCCTCCCCCCTCCCCCTTTTCCCTCCTCCCTCCTTCGTCCTTCTATCTTTATACTATGATGCTGTAGATAAGTGGAATGTCTGATTTCAGTCAATATCTAGAGGGTTGTAGTGGGTGTGGCTGAAGAGCTCTGTTTGGTTCTCCAGGGTTAAGGGTGTGCCTAAGGTGACACACACCCAGGTTTGGCGTGGTGAGTCTTCTCTCTTTCTCTCTCTTTTTTTTAATTAGAAGGGAAATTTATTTTGCTCAGCTGAGCTCCTCTCCTCAAAGGAGACCAGTGCCTGGGCACTAGCCCCAGTGGGTATAATATTTGTCTGCTCTGGGCCGGCACCATGGCTCACTAGGCTAATCCTCCACCTATGGCGCTGGCACCCCGGGTTCTAGTCCTGGTCAGGGTGCCAGATTCTGTCCCGGTTGCTCCTCTTCCAGTCCAGCTCTCTGCTGTGACCAGGAGTGCAGTGGAGGATGGCTCAAGTGCTTGGGCCCCTGCACCCACATGGGAGACCAGGAGGAAACACCTGGCTCCTGGCTTCGGATCAGTGCAGCGCCAGCTGTAGCACCATTTGGGGGGTGAACCAATGGAGGGAAGACCCTTCTCTCTGTCTCTCTCTCTCACTGTCTAACTCTGTCTTTAAGAAAAAAAAAATATTTGTCTGCTCTGTCCCAAGGACCACACAAAGGATCTGTGCAGTCCTCAGTGTAAGTTCAGATTCCCCAGCAGTGTCTCTCACCAGGTTATCAGGAAGCCCTGGGCATGGGGAGTCTGCCACTGTGACTGACCAAAGACCAGCCACACCATGAGTCCTCCCACACACCCTCAGTTTTTTTTTTTTTTTTTTTTTTTTTTTTTTTTTAACAGGCAGAGTGGACAGTGAGAGAGAGAGACAGAGAGAAAGGTCTTCCTTTGCCGTTGGTTCACCCTCCAATGGCCGCCGCGGCCAGTGCGCTGCGGCCGGCGCACCGCGTTGATCCGATGGCAGGAGCCAGGAGCCAGGTGCTTTTCCTGGTCTCCCATGGGGTGCAGGGCCCAAGCACCTGGGCCATCCTCCACTGCACTCCCTGGCCACAGCAGAGGGCTGGCCTGGAAGAGGGGCAACCGGGACAGAATCCGGCGCCCCGACCGGGACTAGAACCCGGTATGCCGGCGCCGCTAGGCAGAGGATTAGCCTAGTGAGCCGCGGCGCCGGCCTCACACCCTCAGTTTTTTTTCACAATCCCAGTGCAGAAGCCTCACACAGTCACAAGCTCCTAGCACCCATTAGTTCTCCCCACCAGAGTCAGGAGGTGGTTGTTGGGCACAGACACAAGCTGGCATAGCTGTTATATATATCCAAAATGTCGCCTGCTCTATTGGCTTGTTACAAGATGCCATTGTAATGTTATTGGGGAGAGAGAAATAAATGTGTCCGTCCTGTCCTTTTTTTCCCCCTCTCGTTTGGAAAGTAAACTATCCCCCATGGGGCTCCAAGCTGGGTTCCCTCTAGGCTCTTCCTGTAGCTTTTTTTGACAGTGGCTTGGACTGCTGTGGTCTGGTCTCACCTTACTTTCCAACGCTGGTGCATAGGCTCTCAGCTGCTGGAGTCTCGAGTTGTGGGTGTCCACATCCTCTACGTAGATCTACCATGTCCCTCTAATTTTGGTAGAGTGCCGGAGACCAGCTCCAGCCAGTTCAGGGGCCCCAAGGTGTGAGAGGTGTCGGCGCTTGAAGAAATGAGAGACACTCACAGCAAGGCTGATAGCATGGCTCTGGCTTTTGAGAACCAGACTTTATTTTTATATTATAAGCCACATAATGATTTTTTCTTCTTACAATGAAAAGCCTGTTGTCCATTTTTTTCTAATTACAATTTTTTTGATTTTCAAGGGCATACTCAGAGCATGGGTTACAATCACAGACAGGTGCAAGATAACAGGCTGCCCACACAAGCCAAGGCCTTGAGCGCTGCTGAACTATGCAGAAATTGGCTACATAGGCTAGAATAGTACCTTCTTAATCTAATCTTTACTAGAAGCCCCAAGTTCAAAGCAGACCCTTTTTAAAATGTATCCCCTCTTTGCAATTTTTTCTGTAATTCTTTAATTTCTTTATTGCACTTATTTAAAAGTTTACTTAGATCTATTCTACAGTTTTGACATCCTAACCATTGTAGTATTTGTAGCATATAGTGAATTAAAGCTTTATTAACATCTATCTTTATTCTAGTGGGAAGTATATACCAGAGAGCTTGTTGCCTTTTAATTCTTTCCTACAAACAGCTCAACCTTGCATAAGGCATTAACCCTTTCTTCTACACTAACATTCTGCTTGATTAAAATTCTACAAGACAATGGAAATTTTGGAGGTTATGAGACTAAGTGCTCTTCCGTAAAATTCAGAATACAGCCGGCGCCGCGGCTCACTAGGCTAATCCTCCGCCTACCGGCGCTGGCACACCGGGTTCTAGTCCCGGTCGGGGCACCGGATTCTGTCCCGGTTGCCCCTCTTCCAGGCCAGCCCTCTGCTGTGGCCAGGGAGTGCAGTGGAGGATGGCCCAAGTGCTTGGGCCCTGCACCCCATGGGAGACCAGGAAAAGCACCTGGCTCCTGGCTCCTGCCATCGGTTCAGCGCGGTGCGCCGGCCGCAGCGCGCCAGCCGTGGCGGCCATTGGAGGGTGAACCAACGGCAAAAGGAAGACCTTTCTCTCTGTCTCTCTCTCTCACTGTCCACTCTGCCTGTCAAAAAAAAAAAAAAATTCAGAATACAGCAACCATTAGCAGGACCACCAGGAAGCTCCAGCTTGTAGTTCCCATCAAACCTAAAACCACCAAGAGGACTGCAGCTGTCCTTCTCATGCCTTGCTGAGACAGACCTTCTGCTGTGACCTTGTCAGCCAGCTGAAGTTGCCTTGGCCTCGTCAGTAGAGTTTCCTCTGCTGTTGTTTTCCCAACTCTTTCCTGAGACTACACTCTCTCCACTTTTTTTTTTTTTTTTAAAAAAAAACTATCTTCTGGGCTAGAGCAGTAAGCTCCCTTCCTACTCCACCATCTTGGACTGCCTTGTCTTTTTCTTTTAGACTTATTTATTTGAAAGGCAGAGTGATGGAGATATGGGGAGAGAGAGAGATTTTTCTTTTTATTATTTAATAAATGTGAATTTACAAAGTGCAACTTTTGTATTGTTGTGGCTCCCCCCCACAACCTCCCTCCCTCTCGCGGCCCTCCCCTCTCCCACTCCTTCTCCCATCCTGCCCTTCATCGAGTTTCATTTTCAATTACCTTCGTATACAGAAGATCAACTTAGTATACACTAAGCAAGGATTTCAACAGGCTGCACTCACACAACCGCACAAGGTATAGGGTATTGTTTGACTAGTAGTGCTGTTTTTAAGTTTCATAGTAAAACACATTAAGGGCAGAGATCCTACGTAGGGAGCCTGTACCCAGTGACTCCCATTGTAGAGAGAGAGATTTTTTCATCCGCTAGTTCACTCCCCAGTTGCCCAAAACAACTGGGGCTAGTCCAAAATAGAGCTCGTATGCAGAAACTCCATCTAGATCTCATGAGTGGCAGAAACCCAAGTACTAGGGGCCATTATCTAGTGCCTCCAAGGCACATTTGCAGGAAGTTGGATCAGAAGCTTGGAGTAGCTGGGATTCGAATCAGATACTCTGATAAGGGATGAGGCTGTTCCAAGCAGCGCAGGTGTTCCATTGCTGTACCACACTGACTGCCCTTTAACTGTTGCCTTAATCACTAGGAAAACACCTGCCCTTATTCATTTTATTTTTTAAAAGATTTTATTTATTTATTTGAGAGGTTGAGTTACAGAAAGAGAGAGAGAGAGAAAGGTCTTCACTCCCCAGATGGCTGCAATGGCCAGAGATGAGCTGATTCAAAGCCAGGAGCCAGGAGCTTCTAGGTCTCCCACGTGGGTGCAGGGGCCTGAGCACTTCGGCCATCCTCTGTTGCTTTCTCAGGCCATAGCAGGGAGCTGGATAGGAAGTAGAGTGGCAGGACTTGAACTAGTGTCCATATGGGATTCTAGCGCCGCAGACAGAGGCTTAGTCCACTATGCCACAGCACCAGCCCCTATTCGTTTTTATAGAGTAAAGATTTATGCTGTAAAGTGCAGTATAGACCAAGGAATGGATTTCTTCCATTATTTCAAATTACAAATAGGATTTAAAGCACATAGTTCACACTGTTGTGCACTTTGTTATTTTTCTTATTCTTATCATGCTCTTATTTCTTGAGAAGATTGATGTTAGTAATGTGGATGCTTCTCTGAAAAATATTGATATAAAACCTACAAAAGAAGAAGTACATGGTTGATAATAGTGTTCAACTTGTTAATTTGGAGGCTTTTCTGTAGAATTTCTGATACTATACTTACTTATCTAGGATCAAACTTTTTCTTTTTAATTTTTATTAATATAAAGATACCAGATTTCATATATTCCATAAGAACAATTCTAAGAAGATGTTCCTCCCCTCCTTCTCTCTTTCCTTCCCTCAATCCCCTTCCTTCCTTCCTTTAATTTTTACAAAAGCATAATTTCAATGTACTCTTTTTTTTTTTTTGACAGGCAGAGTGGACAGTGAGAGAGAGAGACAGAGAGAAAGGTCTTCCTTTTGCCGTTGGTTCACCCTCCAATGGCCGCCGCGGCCGGCGCGCTGCGGCCGGCGCACCGCACTGATCCGATGGCAGGAGCCAGGTGCTTTTCCTGGTCTCCCATGGGGTGCAGGGCCCAAGCACTTGGGCCATCCTCCACTGCACTCCCTGGCCACAGCAGAGGGCTGGCCTGGAAGAGGGGCAACCGGGACAGAATCCGGCGCCCCGACCGGGACTAGAACCTGGTGTGCCGGCACCGGTAGGCGGAGGATTAGCCTAGTGAGCCGCGGCGCCAGCTAATTTCAATGTACTCTTATGATCACAGCCTTAATGAACCATTAATCATAATGGTTAGCAAGTAAAAAGGTCATAGTTCCACAGGAGTATAAACAAGAGCTAAAAACCCACGAGATGTCCATTTCATCCCTATTCTTTTTTTTTTTTTTTTTTTTGGCAGGCAGAGTGGACAGTGAGAGAGAGACAGGGAGAAAGGTCTTCCTTTGCCGTTGGTTCACCCTCCAATGGCCGCATTATGCTGATCCGAAGCCAGGAGCCAGGTGCTTCTCCTGGTCTCCCATGTGTGTGCAGGGCCCAAGGACTTGGGCCATCCTCCACTGCACTCCTGGGCCACAGCAGAGAGCTGGCCTGGAGGAGGGGCAACCGGGACAGAATCTGGTGCCCTGACCGGGACTAGAACCCGGTGTGCCGATGCCGCAGGCGGAGGATTAGCCTAGTGAGCCACGGCGCTGGCCCATTTCATCCCTATTCATTTTTTTTTTTTTGTATTCAGTATTCTCCACGTATTGGAGAAAACATTATATTTGTCCTTTGAGATTGGCTTATTTCACCAAGCATAATGTTTTCCATCTGTTTTGTGGCAAAAAACAGGATTTCATTTTTTATGGCTGAGTAGTATTCCATAATGTGTACATATCACATTTTCTTTATCCAGTCATCAGTTGATATACATTTAAGTTGATTACATGTCGTAGATATTATGAACTGAGCTACAATAGACATTGAGGTACAAATAACTCTTTCATATGCTGATTTCATTTTTTTTTTGTTAAATTCCCAGGAATGGGACAGCTGGATCATATGGTAGATCTATTTTCAGATGTCTGAGGAATCTCTATATTGTATTCCATAATTATTGTACTTATTTACAAAGCCTATAATGTCATTTATTATCATAATTTTTAAAAATTTATTTGACAGAAAGAGTTAGACAGTGAGAGAGAGAGAGAGACAGAAAGAAAGGTCTTCCCTCCGTTGGTTCACCCCCCAAATGGCCTCCATGGCCGACACTGCGCCGATCCGAAGCCAGGAGCCAGGTGCCAGGTGCTTCTTCCTGGTCTCCCACATGCGTGCAGGGGCCCAAGCACTTGGGCCATCTTCCACTGCCCTCCCAGGCCACAGCAAAGAGCTGGACTAGAAGAGGAGCAGCTGGGACTAGAACCCGGTGCCCATATGGGATGCTGGCGCTGCAGGCAGAGGATTAGCCAAGTGAGCCACAGCGCTGGCCTCTTTATTATCATAATTTAAATTTTTTTTGACAGGCAGAGTGGACAGTGAGAGAGAGAGACAGAGAGAAAGGTCTTCCTTTTGCCGTTGGTTCACCCTCCAATGGCCGCCGCGGCCGGCGCGCTGCGGCCGGCGCACCGCACTGATCCGATGGCAGGAGCCAGGTGCTTTTCCTGGTCTCCCATGGGGTGCAGGGCCCAAGCACTTGGGCCATCCTCCACTGCACTCCCGGGCTACAGCAGAGAGCTGGCCTGGAAGAGGGGCAACCGGGACAGAATCCGGCGCCCCAACCGGGACTAGAACTCGGTGTGCCGGCACCACAAGGCGGAGGATTAACCTAGTGAGCCACGGCGCCGGCCTATTATCATAATTTTAAATGACAATATTATTTAACTGTGTAATATTATTTCATAATCATCATATGGGAGGACCTCTTTATTACTAGAGTTTAAGGATTACTGTTCATTGTAGCTACAATCAATTGCTTGTTTTTAGGTATCATGATACCTAATTTCTTTTCATAATTTGGAGGAACAATTATTACAAAATTTTCTTCTTTTATTATGAAGGTGGAGAAGTTAGCTTCTATGACCTGGAAAATATACAAAATATAGGGATAGAGTTCACATCTGAAGAACACTTGGAGCCAGAGAAATTACTTCCACTTAAAGGTGGGCACTTTATATATTAATATAACATTCAATAGCATTAATATTGCTTTCAAGGGTGTTAGTATAGTCATCAAAGGAGTTATTCAGAATTACAAATATTGGGAAAAATCTTAGGATTAAATCTTTAAAATTTTGTATTATCAAATAAACTGTACTTATTGTAGATCGTTTATGAGTTAGATATAATAAAGATATCTACAATCTCAAAGATAAATATTTCTAATAATAGTACATAAATTGTCATTTATTAAAATATACATGGGTCAATCTGTCATATATCTTACAATAGGGATATAGAATGATGATGGTTATTGATTTCATTCCATTAGATGTGTTGGATTTAGACCTAAAGGAACTAGAAGGAGGAGCAGATACATATAAGTTTACTAGTAGAGAAAAAAAGGATAGGGTCAGAAAAAAAATATAAGACAAGAGAAAGTGTTTTTTCTTTTAGGCAACTGGTGTTAGTCTTGCAAGTTCTCAAAATTTACAGATTTACCATTTAAGAATTTTGTTTATTTTTACTTTATTATTTTTAGAGGTATTAGATAATTTAAGGAGCAAATTATTTCATGGTTTACATTTATTCACTTAGAGATTTTGTATTGCTTTAGCGCATAAAGCTCTTTTTTATTTTTATTTGACAGAGTTACAGACAGTGAGAGAGAGACAGAAAGGTCTTCTTTCCATTGGTTCACTCCCCAAATGGCTGTAACAGCCAGAGCTACGCTGATCTGAAGCCAGGAGCCAGGTGCTTCCTCCTGGTCTCCCATGTGGGTACAGGAGCCCAAGCACTTGGGCCATCCTCCACTGTTTTCCCAGGCCACAACAGAGAGCTGGACTGGAAGAGGAGCAACTGGGACTAGAACCAGCACCCATATGGGATGCCAGCACCGCAGGCAGAGGATTAAGCTAGTGCGCCATGGCGCTGGCCCCCAAGCTCTTTTCTTTATGATCTAAATTATATGTTTCCTTACAGAGAATGGAAAAATACATAGGACTAAATTCCTGAATTGTGTGAAAGGTATAAAAAGTGAATAAACAAAATTGAGAAGGCAGATTGACATACTTGGTCTTACTTTTGTTTTCTTGTTGTCATTAAAGTTTACTTCCTGACATATGTATTTATGTAATTAATTTTAATACACATATACATTTATATTGATGAAAATATACTGTGTTTAATTTTAAAGGATAATCTAGCTTTCTTAGTTTTATTACAATTTTGACAGTGGGAATAATAAACTTAGGTATAGGTATCAAAATTTGAGAAAATATAGTATGCCTTGAAATTCAGTGGCCAACTTGAACTCTACTTATTTGCATAAATATTTGTGTTAAAAACTGTTAGATTTGGTTTTTGCTGCTATAGTGGTTTTTCAGTCCTCTTTCAGCGTATTATATTTGTAGATTTATCTTAGATATTGGATGTGAATGGATTTACTTTTAGTTCATTGATGGTACTGTTTAAATGCTTAATGTCCTTAGCTCTATTTGTGATGAAATTCATAACTATGATACATAAGAATTGATATTTATTGTATTTGACTTTTGCTCAATTTCCTTGTGACTTTCTCTTTTCTAGGATTACAAATTGATGCTCATGACCTTGATAATTTACTTGGAAATGTGGCACTCAAACTCACAGCTGAAGAACTTAATGCTCTAACCCCAAATCTATCAATTCATGGTGAGTGATTTCATAGCAATGTGAGAATTTTGCATTTGAGCCTGATGTTTTTTATTTATTTAATTTTTTTAAGATTTATTTTATTTATTTGAAAGAGTTACAGAGAAAAGAGGGGAGAAATACAGAGAGGTCTTCCATCCACTGGTTCACTCCCCAGCTGGCCGCAATGGCCGGAGCTGCATTGACCTGAAACCGGGATCCAGGAGCTTCTTCCTGGTCTCCCATGTGGGACTTGGGCCATCTTCTGCTATCCCAGGCCATAGCAGAGAGCTGGATCACAAGAAGTACAGCTGGGACTTGAACTGGCACCCATATGGGATGCTGGCGCTTCAGGCCAGGGCTTTAACCTGCTGCACCGTAGTGTCGGCCCCACCTGATGTTTTTTATATCATTTATTTAGCTTAGATGAAAACAGATTTTTCTCTTAACATATTAATCTGAAGTTGGTATGTTATTCATCATTCATTTATCCTACAAATTTTAAGTAAGCACTCTGATTAGGTGCTATGTTAACTGCTATAGATACAGTAATTAACAAATATAGTCCTTGGTCTCATGGAGCTTAAAGTACTAGTAGTATATGATCATGTTGCTAGGATCTCAGTCAAGTAAATTTTCACAGGAGAAACTGTCAGGGTTATAAGCTATATGTGTAATATTTTCCATACTTGATTATAAGTCATGAATTCTCATATTTTTTAATGATTTAAAGATAGAATTGCAGCTGTTAAGAACTTGAATTAGAATTGATGGATGATGAATTATAAAGTAATCCCAACCTTATATAAACTAAAATGGAATATATAATAATCAGAGCATGTTCCAGTAAGATAAAGCAATATTGTCTAGAAACATTCTAGTGACTATTGCTTCTTACATGTAAAAATGTTCATATGACTTAAATGGCATTTAGTTATAACTTTGCCATGAATTGCCTATATTTTAACTAGAATAAGTTTCTTTCCCCTCAAAAATATCTCTTTACTAAATCATTGCTTCATTTTCTAGTACTATTGATATGTCAATTAAAGACATGTAGTAAGATTTCAAAAATACACATATGGAAGAGTGACAACAGAAAGATGATAGACTAGGATCCTTGGCTTTAGTCCCCCTTACTGAAATACTGATTTTAAGTTATCCACTGAATGCGCCGTGGCTCAATAGGCTAATCCTCCACCTTGCGGCGCCGGCACACCGGGTTCTAGTCCCGGTTGGGGTGCCGGATTCTGTCCCGGTTGCCCCTCTTCCAGGCCAGCTCTCTGCTATGGCCAGGGAGTGCAGTGGAGGATGGCCCAGGTGCTTGGGCCCTGCACCCCATGGGAGACCAGGAAAAGCACCTGGCTCTTGGCTCCTGCCAGGATCAGTGCGGTGCGCCGGCTGCAGCGGCGGCCATTGGAGGGTGAACCAGCGGCAAAGGAAGACCTTTCTCTCTCTGTCTCTCTCACTGTCCACTCTGCCTGTCAAAAAAAAAAAAAAAAAAAAAAAAAAATCCCAGAATTTGGGTGATGAATCCAAAGTCCCCCTTTGAGCACAGAAACTAAGGGAAGTCACATTAGAAGGGTAAATGGAGAAGCTTCATTTTGTGCCCTGCTTCTCTTATATGTTGACACAGTGCCATGCCAAGAGAAATCCCCAGGGCCTGTGGTTTCTCAAGTAAGAGAAAGCCCAAGAAGAACATCCAGCTTCCCCAGAATTCTGAAGCACATTCAAGGAGGTCTTTTGTCTCATCTCATAGGGACCACTGGAGAATTGGCAGGGCAAGACCCCTTGGGGTCAACCAGTAACAGAATGGCTCACAGAAACCAGTGTGTAGACCTTGTAAGTGTTACTGTGTTCTTTCTGGCAGCCATGTCCAACCAGAGATTCTAGCCATTGGCTTCATAAAGTCTAGAGGTCAGAAATCTAATGGTTGAACCTTAAGAGGTCTATATTAAGACACATTTAGTTAAATTGTCAAGTGGAACAGCTGGGACTCGAGCTGGTGCCCATATGGGATGTCAGCACTGCAGGCGGTGGCTTTATCCAATATGCCATAGTGCTGGCCCCTAACCACATTTCAAGTACTTAATAACCATTCATGGTGACTGACTACTGTATTGGACAGTTCAGAGGTAGAATATTTCCATCTTCACAGAAACATCTATTGGACACCATTGTTTTAATTAAACTATTACAATGTAGAAACCCAATGCTGTACTCATTCAAGACTACTCAGAAATGGAACTACCTATTCGAATAAAAATTAACATTCTTCACAGAATAAAACAGAATTAAGAATCTTACATCTATTTTTCTTATTTTAATGATTTATTTATTTATTTTGAATGTCAGAGTTACAGAGAGAGTGGAGGGATATGAAGAGAGAGATCTTCCATCTGCTGGTTCATTCCCTAGGTGTCTGCAAAGGCCAGTACTGCACCAGGCTGAAACCAGGTGGTGGAAGCTTCATCCACTCTCCCATGTGAGTGGCAGGGACATGAATACTTGGGCCATCTTCTGCTGCTTTTCCCAGGTCATTAGCAGGGAACTGGATCAGAAGTGGAGCAGCTAGTAAAGGAACTGTTGCCTATATGGGATGCTGGTGTCACAGGCAGTGGTTTTACCCACTACGTCACAATACCAGCCCCAAGAGTCTTAATATATATTTTTCACAACATCCAGCATACAATAAAATATTTTGGGTATGACATGGTGTCGTGATTGGTTAAGTTGCTGCCTACAATTCCAGCATCCCAAATGGTCCCAGGTTCTATTCCTGGCTGCTACACTTCTGATCCAACTCCTTGATAATGCACCTGGGAAAGCAGTGAGGATAGCCCAGAAGACCCAGATGGAGTTCCAGGCTCCTGGTTTCGGTCTGGCCCAGCCCTTACCAACAAGCACCCTGTCTCTTCCTCTCTCTTTCTTCTTCCCTTCCTCCCTCTCTTTCCCCCTCTGTCTGGAACTCATCTTTCAAATGAATAAATAAATCTTAGAAAATTAGATATTATTAATAGATATTAAATAAATAAGAAAGCGTGTATTACAGACAGAAAAAGAAGAATTGATGGATACATAATTGGATATGGCTCAGATGCTGGACATAGCAAAGACTTTTCTAGCAGCTGTTACATTCAAGGTCCTGAAGAAAAATAAAGGAGTAGCACTTGTCACTAATCATTAGTTGAGTGCTGCCCCTAAGGAAACTTAATCCCTAATGCTTCTAGCATGCCCCAAACTGTCTGAGTAGTCTTTTGTATCTGGGGAAAGCAACAACTAGAGAATCACAAGTGCTTGTAGTAAGAAGTTACCAGCAGATGGGGGACTAGTAAATGCCAAGAGAACACGAGTAGAAGGGTCGGCGCTGTGGGGCAGTGTGTTAATCTTCTGCCTACAGCACTGGCATCCCATATGGATGCCGGTTCTAGTCTTGGCTGTTCCTCTTCTGATCCAGTTCTCTACTGTGGCCTGGGAAAACAGTAGAAGATGGCCCAAACACTTGAGCCCCTGCACCCATGTGGGAGACTGGGAAGAAGCTCCTGGCTTCGCATCAGCTGTGCGGCCGTTGTGGCCATTTTGGGGGTGAACTAGTAGATGGCAGACCTTTCTCTCAGTCTCTCCCTCTCATTGTCTGTAACTGTACTTCTCAAATAAATAAAAATCTTAAAAAAAGAGAATATGAGTGGGATACCAACAACTTTTGCATTTGAACTCCTTCAAACCAGAATTGATGCTGTATTTATGTCTGAGTCTATTCAGACTACTATGACAAAATACCTTAAACTGAGTATTTGACACATAATAGAAATTTATTTCTCATAGTTCTGGAAACTTAGAAGTCCAAGATCTAGAACCAAAGATGTGTTGTCTGGTGAGGGCTTGCTCCTTGTTTCATAAATGGTGTCTTCATGCTACTTTCTCATGTGGCAGAAAGAACAAGTGAGGCACAACTTGATCCTCAAGTTCTTTTACAAGGAAATTAATCCCATCCTTGATGGAGCTTTCATGTCCTAGTCACCTCTTAAAGGCTCCAGCTCTTTATACATTAACTGGTGGGTAATTTCCAACATATGAATTTTGGGAAGACACTAAATTCAGACTATAGCAATGTGCATGGATACCCTTTTCATAGTTTGAGAGAATTAAAGAGTTGATAAATTATGGAATAGCAACTCTTCTAATTTTTTCAAAGGGTAAAAATTGAATGAAAATATTTTGGGAACCATGAGAATAAAGATCACCAAAAATGATATTTGGAAGCTGCTTAAAACACAGCCAATTGATGGTAAATCATAAAGGATGTGCATAAGACATTCAAAGGAACTTACTTTTGTAGATCAGTTTTCAGTGTAAAATGAATATACTCTAAATTATATAAAACTGTTTCATTTGTTCCAGATTTTACTTTGGTACATCAAAATTTCTTAGCTACTACAGATTACCATCAAGGGCTAAGAAAAGCCCTTCAAGTTCCCTGTAGGATTAAGAGGATTCTATATATGTGGTATTAAATAGTCAAAGCAGATTCATGTGAATTATAGATAATCTCAGTGCCAAACTTTATTTATGATTCAAAAGATACAGGCAAACATGAGAAATGGATGAATTATTTTTTTTCACTTGGAGAAACTTGAGATTGACACGCATAGTCCACCCAAATGCTCATTTTTCTCCTGCATTGTGTTTTAGTTTAGTTATAAGCATTGTACATGCAGACAAGTATATAAAAATCATTTTGATTATAGATATTTTCATTATACTTTATATACATGCCCTCCTAAATCCATAGATACCCTGTAGGTACTTTCCTTTGATTCTAAAGCAGAGACATCTGCTCTGAAAATATTGACATAACTGAAGGGGAAAATGAACAATTCTATGATAATGAAGACTTGAGTCAGTCTCTACTTTCATTAGTGGGTACATAGATGATCAAAGAGAAAACAGAGGACTTGATAGTATAAGCTAATGAGACCTAACAGGCATATATACATATACATATACATGTACATATACAT